CGACGGGCGGAAGTGGTGGTGTCTGCAGCCCGCCCCCGCGGCTGGGAGAGACGAGTCTGTTGTAGTTAAGGAGCTGTGCGTAGTAGATGTTTGACTGCTGGGGAAACCACAGGGGGAGAAAATCGATGGGGCAAGCAAACTGGGTGACTCCAGCGGCTCCGGGTACGTGGGAGAGGGTATGGTGGTTTGAGGCGCCGTCCAGCGAGCCTTCAAGGGGGTATGATGGTGCTTGCTGGACCGTCGTCGGTATGGCAAGATGGGAAAATTGTGAGAATCCGGCGAGCTTGGCGGAAGATGGGGAAGCAGTCCTCTCTGCTGCTGTCGTCGCCGAAGTTGCCGTATCGATCGAGGGGTGGTCGGGGGAAGCGGCAGATGATTGTGTCCAGGTCGGCGAGCTATAATAAGAATGCTGGGTTTCGGCCGTGGTCGTCCTGGCGTCCATGAAATGGAATGCACGGAAAAAGCAGACAGAATGCAGTAAAACCAGCGAAGTGAAGAAAAGCAGAACCGTCAAGCAGTCCGCGGAGCCCACGCGTGAGCAGAGGGGGGAACAGTCTGGAAGTTCGAGCTGGTGGCGAAGGGTACGACGTTTTGGTGGGACGCGGGAAGTGTAGCGGTGGATGAGTAGGGAAGTACGTCGCCGGAAAGTAGAGCAATGGCTCAGCGCCTAGTTGGTCTCGCAACTAAGTCAACTCTTAGTCCCTCTTTCTGCCTCTCGGTTCGGTAGTTGTTGGCTGAGGCTTTGTGCGTCTGTGTCAGCTCTCGAGGATAAGCCAGCAGCGAGGCACGGGGATTATGTGCGGCGTCGGTCGGGTCGTAGCCAATGGAGGGGGAGATGCAGGCGGAAACGACGTGATCGAACTCGGTCAGACCCGTGCTGCGGCGAGGCAATCAGACAGCCTCGATGTTGCAGTTCTAGGACCGAAGGTGAAGAGGGCGCAATAGTGAAGCAAGCCGTATCGGCGAGCGGAGTTAAATCAACGTGAAGTGGAGAAGAGAGCACAATGCCTCAAGCTGACTGGCCGGAGGGGAACGGACGAACGCTGGCGAATGCAATGTGCGAGAGGTGCAATGGTTGAAGGACGGGGAGGCGGCAGGTTCGTCGAGTGGTGGTCGCAGCGGAGAGAGGATGTGTGTTTGTTCCCGTCTGGCATTTAGCAGCGCGCGGCGACTTCGAATTAGGGTGATGAGGATGGACGGGATGTATCGGCACCCTGCTCGTAGCAGGTCTTGTGCGTGAGCGACGGCGCTGGTGGTTGCGGTGGAGAGGAGGTTAAAGGGGGTTTCGCCTTGAGTTCGACGCGTGGGGCAGCGACAGGGAAGTACCGCTCTACCCTGACAACAGCAACGGAGCGATTTGTAGGTACCTGCCCATCTACTGACAATCCAAGAAGAGGAGCAGTCGTCCACTCACGCCGGTGGAGTCTCGCTCGCTCTGAGTAGAAGACAAAGGGATTTTAGAGGATCTCCCAATCAGCCACAGCCGTCGATGAGCGCTGGCGGTGCTCGGCTCCCTCTGAAATTGGGTGAGAGGAATTGCGCCTTGGTAGGGTTTGACGGGCAGCCAGCTTAGATTGCTTGTAAGTGAGCGAAGCGGGAATCCAGATTATTTTGATTAGGCAGTACCTCCAGAATCTGCCTCTAGCTGGCTCCCTTGCAAGTACAGCGAGTGCGGCTTCCATCCGATGCCTCAACTCTGACCTGGACCCAGATGCCCAGAAGCGCGGGTGCTCTGTAGCGAGGTAGGTACTCTGTAACACGTGTACCTGGCCAGCCCACCTCTCAATGGGTGGTGGGTACTAAGCAGGTACCTTCCTCCCGCTGAATGAATGGCTGGATAGGGGACTTTACCAGGCGGGCCCCCGTTCATGCCATCAACGAGACCGCGCTTTTAGTGGCATTGATAAATTAGCTACCCTTGTGCCTTGCGTTGAAGAATCAATCACTCCTGGCACGCCGTGGCCGGTTTCCACCTTCATCACACTGGCAGGAGTCTGCGGCTGTCGCACATCCACGGCTGGCCGCGACAGGGTTGCTCATGATTCCTCACTCCTTTCTGGTACGGAGCCACGAGGTCACCATACACGCAAATAGAATACGACGTCGCCCTCCAGATATTACTCACTCACCGTCAGCACGAGCGCACCTACCCGTCGACGGACAGCGTCCAATTGGCACCCGCTGCCTTTGGGGCCTTGGGCCTTGAACGATCGATATTTGATGCTCTCGCCTTCCCCCTCAGCTCGGCCTGCCTTATGCACCTGACTAAAGCGTCAGCTGGCTCTATCATCAAACATGAGGGGCAGGACCGCAAAAGCATGGCCTACCTACCAAATGTGGACTCAGTCTATCAATCCTGCTCAATAGTACGACGACTAAACGCCTAATGGCGTCTTTGCTTGATAGCTGATCAACTCCAATGGAACCTAACTAAACTGGAATTGCCAAGGCCATTCACGATCACCAATCAATCTGGAAGCCGATCGGGATGCTAACAAATGTTGGTCAGCGATACAGGGCTTGGCTCGGGCACGACAAGACAGGTCAGGTGTCCAGAGCCGGACTGATGCGAGAGAAGAGGTAAGTATTTGGAACATCAGTGCGGAGGATGCCCACGAATGGCTGCGGCTTACCACCACTTGGCTTCTTGAGGGGGAGGCAAGTGTGTTCAGATCACAACACGGTTCGGGCTTGCGGCTGACTGGGGCATGGAGAAGTTGGTGAACCATAAATTTGGCAAGGCTTCCCAGGGGCTGGCTCATTATGACTACATGGATGCCACTACTAACCTTAGCTCGTAGGGTCCAGTCATCTAGCAGCTTGCCGACAAGAGAACTAACTTGCCGTGGAATAGAATATGATCCATGAATTATAAGACAGTTGCAAATGCATGTTGATCTGTCAACGGCTCACCCATCAATCAATAATGATGGACCGGCAGCCGGTATTAATGCCTCGAGCCGCAATTTCTCCCGTGTTTCCAGCCCCGTGAAGTAATTTGCGAAAGACGTACAACGCACACATCCTCCTGCTAATTGCCCCATGTCCATCATTTCCTGTGAGCTACAGCTCATCGGGGGTAGACCTCGTTAGGAGAGGAACCATCAACCATCAGGGTGCTCTAAACTCACTGGGCCACCAGTGTCTTGCCGTCTTCTTACTACCATGGTGTGTATTTGGTCTTTACCTGACTTCAAGACTCGTGAGCGAGCTTTGAGAACAACAGCAATGGCCCAAAACGTTCAAATTGGCCGAGGCGAGATCAACGAATACAGCCCCAGAAGCAAGATCAACTATTTTATTACTCAATTGATTGATAGAGCAGACCGCCAAGATACCAATCATCTTGTCCCGACAGTTAGGCATGGACAGCAAGGATTCCGTCGCAACTTACATTCCGCTTTTTTGTTTTTGGATCCCCGGAACGGTGCATCTCCGCACGTCATTTCGGCGCTGGTGAATACGCAGAACCTTTCCCGGGCGTATCAACGCGATGCAACGCGAGGCACATGTTATGCGGATTCCCTGCCCGTCCAGAGCTTCCGTCTCACCGGTCAACCGTAATTGACGAATCGCAGCTACTTTGTCGAGCGGAGCAGTTAATTTGGTCTAGCCAGTATCTAAATGCTCTGTGCCGTCCACCTTCCCGAAGGCCGAAGGGCAGGATGGACGCCAGGGCCAAAGGAGGAGTGGGTACAAAATCACCTCCCTACTCAAGCACAGATCTTCCCAACGCTCGAGCACACGAGGTGGGATGTTTGCTGATATTTTCCGATGCTCGCTCGGGGTAGCCTTGCCGTAATATAAAAGGGGTGCCATATGCCGTAGCTCTCGGACCCGTATTAAAAAAGAATGACAATTCATTCTGCATTGATTCGCATTGCAATGTAGTGGTTGACTGGCAATTGGCATTGAATTGAACGTACGTGGTGCCTGCATTTATCCAATTTCTAGGCGCAGGCTCATGCTCGCTTCGCGCCATTGAGTTCAGCGGTTTTGCGCCATTGAGTTTTGTGACCATCCTTCTCCACGTAGACGACTCAAACTCAATGGCGGCCATCCCATCGCACGCGTGACTTTGAGCTTCATTTCCGTCTCTGGGGGCTAGACGCTGCCCATCCACGACGCCCAAAGAACCAAGTATGACCCAATTCGTTTGCCATGACCAGGCACAATGCATGGCTGGCTACTATTCTGAGACAGATGCATCTACTTCTGCCCAACCAGACAAAGCACAGGAACTTCGGCGTCGATAAGAGTGGAGGGAAGGCCTCTTAGCAGGCGGCACAGCAGACTACGTGATGGGGTCAGACCTAAATATATAACAGCCCTAGTTATCGATGCGAGTGATGGAGCACGCAAGCTGGCTGACGACATCCCCGGGCTGTTTTACCCCGGATGGTCCAGATTCTTCTCTTGTTCTAGAAGTCTGGTCGCGAGCACGCCATTCTGAAGCGCGAGGCAAGCCACCCGCCACTATAAAAGACTGGATTGGGGAGTTCAGCTAGAATAAGAGTTTCTTGGGGAGCGACCTAGCTATGCCTACCCATCGCAAGTGGCTCGTGCCACCTGGAACTCATCTGGTCTTCCCCCACACACAGACTACGGGTACCTGCGCAGGTGATCACCAGCTTGCCACTACTTTGGTTGCCGCCGTCACGCCAGATGTTATCTTACCTAGGTACTACTACCTAGCAATCGATACGCTGGAGGCGGGCAAGAGCAGAACGGGGCATGACTCTGACCTTGTGGATGGACATCAAGGTTCACCTGCACTCTCACTGGTCACAGAGGTTGTATGAATATAGACAGTTCTATTCGATGTTATAAACATAGCGGCCTGAAACTCTTTCCAACTCCGGTTCTAGGACCTCTACTCCTTGTATCGGCAATCCAAAATATTTATCGATCTTCATCGCAGTCACGGTAAACATGGTCAAGTCGAGGCGATCAGGTACCTGTCCTTGCGTGCAACCTTAGCCCGGCAGCTTCAAGGCAGGCTAGTCCTGAACATATAATCCCTTCCGACCGCTCAACGTCTCCGCTTTATTCCTGTATCCCTCGTTCCTCCTCACGGCCAGGAACGTCAAGCTCCACAGCTGGCTGATGTTGCTCTCCGTCGAGCTCAGCTCGCCCAGCGGGATCGAGTCGAACCGCCCGTCCTCGTACTTCCACGTCCACAGCTCATTGCTCAGCACCGCGGTGTTCTCCTCAATCACGTCCCACAGCCTGTTGTATGCGTTGATCACCTTGATGTGCACGGAGCTGTCTTGGCAGAACTCTGGTGGCGAGCTGGCGTCGCATCGACCGAGCTGGTGCTCGAGGCCCTTGGCCATCATCGATAGCTGCCACCCCCACACCACAGTCCCATGATAATCGGCCCTGCCGAATCCTGCCGTGGATATGGTGTACGCGGGGTTCGAGACCAAAAGCCCGGCGTCCGTTGTCAGCCCTACGGGGAAGGGTGCCAGAATGTTATCCGCTGTCTGGCTGACAAACGCAGTGAGCTGGGCCTCGTCAGTCGAGTTCAAGAGGAAGTGACGGAAGCAGTCATCGCTGTTCATGATCTTGACTATGGGCTGGTTGTTGCTGCCATCCAGCGCCAACCCGTAGAAGTGAACATCCCCCGTGATGCTGCCCTTCTCTGACGGGAACGGGAAGTTGTTTGATGAGACGTAGTCGTCCACGAGCGAGCGAGCGTCATCCCGTGGGATGGACACCTCGAAGAACTCGAGCGTTTTATCCTCCCAGATTTTGGCCGCCTTTCGGGCGTCATCCGCCCAAGTCGGGTGGTCAGGGAAGAAGCCTGCATCGGCTAGGGTAGCGATGGCATAGAGACCAGCCGGTGCAAGGGCAGTGTTGACATCGTACGGGATCCGACCGCCGCCGAGGCCGGTCGAGCTGTCTCGCCACTCGCCCACTGACTCTCCATCCTTAAGGCGGATGAGGTTTTCCTTCACCTGACCGTTCTTGGCCGCAAAGGGTGCCGTTGTGCGGAGAATCTTGTCTGCGTTGAGCGTCGCAAGCGCCCGGTAGCTTGTACCGCTCTCTCCCTCAGCGTGAGCCGTGACTTGGTCGAGCACCGCCTTGACCCTGTTCTTTCCAACGGGGTTGTTGATGAAGTATTCTGCCAAAAGGACGGGGAGGAAGAAGTCCGTGTCAACCATCTTATAGTCGTAAAGTGGTGCGGTGGAGATCAGTCCGGCTTGTTTGTTCAGGTATGTAGCATAGTCGCCAATGGTCTCCTCGTGGGCAACGCTCCCGTCACTCTTGTCAATCCGCTCCAACAGTGCGATGACTCCGGCTTCGAACGCGCTTCCCTCGCCAGCGCTCAGGATGTCCTTGAGAAGAAGCATGGAGATCATACTGTCTCGGCCAAAATAGGTGAGGAAGCGCCACGCGCCCGCCAAGAGCTTGTCGCTGTAGGACAGGAACGAGAGCGACTTGGTCTGGTCTGGAGAGTCTGCGATGAGGTCATGGGCAGAGTCCGTGAGCACCTGGGACGGCTGCAGCTGCGTCAGCTGCGGGTAGTTGAACGAGGCATTGAAGACGTAGGTCCCTGCAGTGAACTCGACGATGCGGTCGCTCAGGCTGGCCGAGCTTCCCTTGCTGCTTGGGGAGAAGGACAGCGTCATGGTCGTCACATTATCGAACCAGGGACGATCCACCGTGACGCTCCCGTCGCCGTAATCAGAGAAGCGCAGGGTGTTTTGGATGTTGGAATCAAGCCATCCGCCCTCGGTGTACCCGCGCAGGGTGCGGACACTGCCCAGAATAGGGACGGTCAGTTTCGCCGAGGTGTTGAACGAGATCTGCCCCGAGACGCCCACAATTGGGTCATCGCCGGTGGGTTCGTAGATGGGTTCCAGGGCGTTTCCCGTGGTTGACGAATTGACGAGAGACACAGCCAGCGAGCCCTTGACACCATTCTGAGGCTCAAAAAAAGCAGCCAGACCGCTGTTTCCAGCAGGCCACGCGATCTGTGAAGATGTTCTGTTAGCTTGTAGTGAACGCGTGGTGGGAGCACATATCGGGAGCATACAAGCAGGCGCGGGGTAACAATGTCCAGCAAGCTGCCCGGCAACGGGCTCCTCACAATGACTTGCGCGGCGCTATGGCAGTCCGAATAGAAGTAGTTAATGTATGGTAGATCGCTCAAGGTAAAGCGAGTAGGATCGCTCGAGCACCCGGCGGCAGAAGTCGTCCACGGCCAGAGCCATAGCGATAGGGTTGCAGCCAGGAACAATGCCACGAAGGAAGTCATGATTGTGAGGCAACTGAGGCGGTAATTGGGGCGATCATTGTGATCCGCCTTGGACTGAGGTACGGACCCCATCGCCGACATATAAGACAAAAAAACAATCGAATCCTGCGTGTAAAGGGCCGATGAAGCGTTGAGACAACAATGCGCATGTGATGAGACGGTTGTTGATCATGGGCTGTGGAGGTGCGAAACCCAGAAATTTCCTCTACGGGCAAAGAAGAGCAGCGCTACGTCAGGTCACAGGCTGGTTCCATTATGCCGGACACCGCAGTCAATGCAACCCTCCAACTGCCTCGTCCAACGGGAGTTGACGTCTTTGAACCGCCACCTGACGATCGGTAAATGATCTCTGCGCTGGATATCATGGGGTTGAGCGGTCATCCGACGGGTCTTGTCCAATATCCTGCGTGTATTTCTCTCCAACTGCCCCAGATGAGGGTTGCGGGGAATATGGGGTAATGGAACAAGCTCGGCCCTTTGAGAGCTCTGGAAACTTGCTGCATTGGTCACGCACGTCATGATGTGAGCAAGGCTGATAACATTAGTAGGATATTCCTAACTGCTTCAAGGTAGATGAGGTAGTATCTAGATGTCTGTCTATCCATCACGAGCGCCTTCGAGAGCGATCACTCTGCATCTAGACTTGGCCTCGAATATGAGCGAAATATGATCACGCCCGAGATTTCGCCCCTCCCTTTTCCATTTCGCCGACCCAAATCAAGATTCTCGTTGGTAAAAGATGTCGCAATAGGTAGACGTGTCGCAAACATTGCATCCGTCGTGCGTAGAAAGTTGATCTAGGAGATCACGGGTCCGCTCATTCTGGCACCACAATCAATGTGCTCTCTTCAGTTGGCTTGGATGGTGTCTCCTCCGCGAATCTGGGGCTCTTGTGGCTAGCCATGTTCACAGAATCCTCGATTGAACGTTTGATGCCTCTCTGGAAAATTCTAGATGTTAGATTTCACCGTGCAAGCAATCGTAACCAGCTCGATCCATTCTCACATTGATTTCTTGGACAGTTGACTTCGATGCCTCCCGCTGGCGGGCCGCAAACGACTCGAGCCTCTCGCGCACCAGGTGTGGTCCCAGAACCCCGATGATCCCATCGATGAGCTCGTTGTTTGCGACCGCCTCCTCCGCCTTTGCCGACTTCTTCTCTCGCAGGAGCCTCTCGAACTTGCGGCCGGACTTGAAAGACTTTCGGATTCTCTCCTTGCACTGCTCTGGGCTGTTGGAGGAGTCCGTGATGCCGTTCTCGTTCTGGAAGATCTCCTCGCGGATGAGTTCCACCTCCCTCTTCCTGCTGTCTTCGGCCGCGGCGATGCGCCGCATCTCGTCCCCGTGCTCCTTGATGCGCTGCTTGATTCCCTCGCTGAGGCGGAAGGCCTCGTATCCTAGCTGGAACTTGCTTTTGGATTCGACAGAATCGGGGAAATGGTCCGAGTTAGAGTCCATGATGTTGCCTGAGCTCAGGTGCCAGCTCGTAGTTGGTGAGATTGAGGAGTATGCTGTTTCTGTTGTGCCTGGTCTTGCGACGAGGCTGGAGCGAGGATACACGTTGAAAAGAGATGAGCAAGTAACAATATCTGTTTGTGTAGTATTCAAAATTGATTGAATGTGTGCATGGGGTTTCTTGGTGTTTGTGTGCTGGGTAACGTTGTGAGTTGAAGGTGAGTTGCAGGTGTGAGAAGTTTAGCACAGGTCTGCCTCGCTCTACCTTTCCGCCCCGAGAGAGTTGCACATGCGAGAGAGCGAGGCTGCGCAACAAGAAGGTTCGCACAGACAATAATATGAGGTCGGTGATATTTGTCTTTGGCAAGACCGTCAAACTGGGATTATATACAGCCTTCGATACAGATCACGGTCTCCTTGGACTTCTACTACCCCTTGGTTAAACATTTATGGAAATGATAGCCCAACACCTTTTGCGATATCTCCCTTGTTGTAGAACTCCACGGTAGGCAGAAGCTCACATACCACAAAGCGAGCAGTCTTCGTATGCAACGATCCGTGTCCGAAAGGCTCATGTGTTCGCTCCCTTCTCAGTCGTCCGTCGCTGAGCGTCAGATTGCCCATAGCGTCCGCAAGTACTTCCGCCTGCCTCACTTCTCCGTTCCCCTCTCTGCCTTCGTTTACCGCTCCGTCATCACGGCTAAATGTCGAATATCCATCCGCAAGAGCTTGGAAGCAAATGAGCTGATCTTGGAGATGCTCATCTACCTGGCCTCCTACAGACACTTCTTTGTAAAGCTCCTTACAAACGCTGTTGGCGAGCTTCCTGATAAAGAGGTCGGGTGACTTGGTCTTCTTGGGCATTGAGCAGAGCGAGTCCCTCCCCCATCTAACTCCCGAAGCGCTCTTTGCCACTAATAAGATATACCATCGCGTGTCGCTTCCTGATTCCTCGACCACCTTGAATTTGCATTCCGCGTCGGGGTAGAGATCACCAATACCCCTTACGAGTTCGTTTTGGAGGGTTGTATGGAACTTCTCTGGCACAATTATGCTGATGTCCACAGATTTGACAGTATCCAGGCCCGGGTCAGGGGAATTCTCAGGCTGAAGAAACCGTAGTTTCTGACCAAGGGGCACCGGGTATATCTTGAGCGATAGCTTCCCTCTCGACTGGGGCCCGAGACTCCAAGCTCGCATCTCTAGCTTTCTGTCCACCCGGATTCCGAATCTCTCCTCTAGCGTGGGCAGAAGCACCTGGTCTAGGTACTCGTAACTCAACGAGAAGGACACGTTCGTGCCCCCAGAGATCTCCAGCCAGATGGGTTCGTCGCTGCTGTTACCCGCAAAGACGAGGAATGGAAGCACGGCTTGCAAGATTAGGAGAGCACTTGCTGCTCCAGAAGGAGCAGTGATTTTGAAGTTGCGGCTCACTAGGGCTGTGGGTAGTCTCTTGGGGATGAATGTGAGAGTCGAGGAGCCCACTCGGAGGCCTTCCACTTCAGCCTCGGTGACATCCGCCAGGAATTGGATAGCCGTGACGTGCTGGAACTTCAATCCTTGAACTCGCAGTCAGTATGATAAGTAAAGAATTTAAACGCCAGCTCTGGAGAACAGGAACCGGGTTGACGAACCTCCTCCTTTGCGGTTTCCTCGGACGTTGGTTATTTTCAAAGGTTGGCCCGTCAAAGCTGCGAGTGCTACAGCCACCCGAACAACTTGACCGCCGCCCTCGCCAGTGCGGCCGTCAATCTCAATCAAGCCCTTCATCCGTCGGTTGATGGTGGAAATTATTTGATGTGATGAAGTTTGGAAACGGCGGGGGGTTTTCTGGGAAATCAGATTCTTTCACAGACACAGAGTGTATGCGTGCTTGACGAAAGATGAGAACCAGGGAACCCCAATCATCATCAGATGTAGATATTGCAGCTTGTTTGCTATGAGTCACTCCGTATCAAAATGACAAAGGCGTAATCGCTAACTTGAACTGAGGTTGGTGGAGCTGTAGCGAGCTGTAGCGCTGAGTAGCGCTGTAGAGTGGCAGTGCAAGGCTCCAGGTCCCGTGTCAATTGTCCTGCCCCTCGAAATCGTGTCACCGGCTTGCCAAGCAACCGTACCCTACACTCTGTTGACCGGATAATGCTTGTTTTTTTCGCCCCCAAGTTACATCAATAGGATCCTTTCCAGGGCTCGAATGCACCGAAGGTGTTATTATTCACCGCAAGATATGTAAGGGGCCTTGGCTTTGGCCAGGGTCAGTGTTTGAATCTCCGACTTTTCATTTTCAGGTCGTATATCTGAGTGAACATGGTTTCAATTTTTACCGACAATCAAGTGTATTGCATAGTGTAGTACCATATGGACCCAGAACGATACTGTTATCAAGATGGATTGCAATAAGTTCCATTTTTGTTTCGCTAACAAGATCAGGTCGAAACGACTCGAACATAATATTAAGTAGCTGGCGATGACGCTCACAATTACACGGTGGTTCACGCTCTGAGAAAGATGTAGTGAGGCCAGTTTTGAATGATGCAAACTACAACAAAAAACATGAAATCGGAGCGTACAATGTTTCTTTTTTAGGCCATTGTGTAACGGAGGTCACTTATCAATGCCTATGCATTTGAGGCGGTCAGTACCATCTGTTGTTCTGGTGGCGAAGAACTCATATTAGATCTTACTATTCGTTAATGAGCTAACTGCTAAGCAGTGAACCATGTTCCGATGTGAATCGGCTCTTTGAGATCCACTGGGCTTTGTTCCGCAATTTGTTATCGCCATCTACCTCTAAGGAGCTCTTGTGGACGTTCGCTCTCAGATTCTGGAAGCTTATTATGGTATGGGCATAGTGTGTGGACATCTGGGATGAAATGTAGCAGTCTTGCTGCAACATCCTCAAGTCTGGGTTGATAAAATGGCATCCTTCTAAGACTAATCTAGGATTGTTCTAAATAATGCGGAAAATTCCCTTTGGTTGATATTTTCGCCAAGTGAGACTTCCTGAAATACTGGGAGTTGTTGACTTCGCTGTGCCATTTTAGATCGGCCTGCCATTGGACTGGAGGTACCTAGATCTACTATCTGCTACCGGAGGTTTCCACCCGTAGAACGGGTATTGTGATTTTAATTAGCGTACCTAATCCATTTATAAAGTACTCAGTAAAAAATTGCAAGGTTCCATGTTCTCTCCCATGTTGAAAATCGGAATGTATCGTGTAAGATTGTGACAAGTGCGCAGCTAAAAGAGTGGCAGTGCAATGCACGCTCCGTCAATTAATATAATACTGACGACGGCCACCGGTGCGTGACCCGCTAAATTTAGATACCCGAAGGGACTCCATGAATCGTCAGCGATTAATTCGCCCCGATGCCCCGTGCCGTTATCATTGACACCTCGCAGTGCTGCCCGAGCGGCCATTTCGTACGACCGTCGTACCACAACCTCAAGCTGCCACTACGGGATTTATCTTTGTCCAACATTCCGGTTTCCGTAAAGCGCCTCGACGAATTCTAAACCTTTGGCAGAAAAAGCCCCGCTGCTAGAGGAAGAAAATCAATTCTATCCCATGGATAGGATGCAGACAGAGGGTTTGCCGTTGCCCTCTGACATCCTAGACAGCCTCGCAACGGAGAGATCTGTCGGCCCCGCGCCGGAGAAGCTACCCTCGGGCATCAATGGCCTCGACGCAGTCGGCCTCGTCTCGCAATTGCATGCAAGAGGGGATCTCCCGCGACCCTTGGCAAATTTCGCTTATTTCGTTTACGACATGCTCGCCTATCTAAGTACTGCACCCTTCTACCGCCGGCCGGGCGATCAGGCGCCTCCTCGCCTTAGCCTTCCTCAACTCTACCGTGGGATATTTTGGATCCTCCCAGACGCCCAGTGTGATTTATTTGGAGACAGCCCCGGTTCCCGTCGACGTACCGCGGCTGATCACAGGAGACTCCTGTTCCAGAGCTTGGCGAGGATGGCATATGTGCCAGAAGAGGACGACTCAGCCGAGGCACGAAAGCGAGCTGCTCGTAATTCGTATTCCGGAATACACCCGGCAGATGTGCCGGCAGACCGGCTTTCCGTTAATTATGACGAGGACGGCGATGAGATCTATCACGATGTGTTGGATGCTCTGCATGCGGCCCAGCCTAGGCGCGGGCAGGCAGATCCAGGAAGGCCGCGAGATAGCTTTCGTGAAGAAGCCCTGGGACTGGCAAGAGCAATACCCAGGCTTTGCACCCTGGCTATTCCCATAGACTATTTCATCAAGTTTATTGTTCACTTACTGGCTCTTCAATTCAGGGATAGCAGGGAAGGGCATATGCTATCGCAGTACGAAGAAGCAGCAGAGAGCATAGTCTACTCGTTCTGCAAAGGCCGAGAGACGAATATAATCAGATGGCCGGAATTTGATGACACACTCAAGAGCATGCCCTTTCTATTTCACCCACTTTTCAGACTCCTATCTACAGCGTTTCGGGAAACTCTGGAGTACACGGGAAGAACGCAATGGGCAGCACCAAAGTTGCCCCCGGATAGCTTTATAACATTATCGCGTCTGAGCCAACTGGCGACCATGGTGAACGAAGATTTGGATTTCGAGAATTTTGAAAGGGTTCATCAATGGAACGGGCCCCCTCTCGCTACAGCCAAAGATGTACTCGCCACTATTGAGGGAATGCCCTCTGTCAGTATCCTCACCATGTGCGGAAGGTCCCCCAAAGGTGAACTGGTCATCTTTGGTATCTTTGTCCCAATGTTTATGGGAGTAACACACACCAAAACGGGGAATGAAAACCGCGAGCGAAACTCGGTTGGGCCGGCAGGTGTGCCAATGTCAGTCGAGATGGACGGTGCTCACGATTGGGTCTCTGGCTCATCCGTCGCAAGGTCATTCATGTTTGTGCTTCGTCCGGAGCAACGTATAATTCGTTTCAAGGGGAATCCTTGCATTATCGGCAGTAATCTTTACTTTGGGGATGCGTTGATCATGTCTAATAACGGAACTGTAGTCATCAAATATGGGACTGGCAGTATGAGGATTAATGTTGAAGCCATCGAAATATGGGGCGAGACAACTTTAAATCCTACGGCAAGGTTTAACTAGTTGTTGGTCCTGATCCGGTTAATTTCATGCGTATTATAATATTCAACATCTGCTCTAGAAATTTCTACTTGGGGCTTATATCAGTAATTTAATATCATTGATCTGACCACATGCTAGGTTGGGAATCTTGGCCTGTGATGTATGATACAACCTCTATCTAATATAAATATTCCGTCCATCATCTATATCTATAATTTGAAAATCAACCATGTCCCGCTGCTAACATATACATAATCTGGTATCATGAGATCTCGCTATATCCCCCATTTAAAAATCGAAAACGCCACCTATGCATTCCAATGAGCGGATCATCCCCAAGATATAACCGCGGTTTTAATCATTTGTCCCCTTACTAAAATAAGTGAGCGACCAACAAACTAGTGGCGATTATAGCCGCGAGTGCCGCTCCTCCTGTGCGTTGCCCAACAGCGGCGCTCTTGGCTGCCCCAGTCTCGAAGTAGTACTGGCTGCAGACGGTTGCTGTACCAAGCGAGCCGTCTTTGACAGGCAACCCGAGGCCAGACGCCATATCTTCAATCACGTCAGAGCAAGCAGACTGGATCGCTTGGACGGCGGTGACATGCTCAAGCTGCCACTTGCTGGCGGACTTTTGCCATGATGTGTACTGGGGGGCTAGAGAACCGGTGACGGAGGGGATCAGGCAGTTATCAGTGACTGTCAAGAGTTGGGTCTGTTGGGCAAGGAATTCCAGCATGTCGGGGCCGACGCTAGGGACGGCTTTTAAGGCATCGCTCTCCTCGGCGAGGACCATGTAACAGTCCTTCATTTCACGCTTCTCGGGTGCTTGCGTGGGAGCAGGAAAATCGAGTGCGGCCGTGACGGAGGCGACGGAAAGACAGAAAAGACGAGAAAAGAGCATCTTGATGGTTGATATTAGGGTACTGGACAAAAGCGAGTGTAGATCGATGCTAATTAAGATGACTCTGAGGCAACGAAGGGGAGGCAAACAAACCTACGACGGGGATTGAGGAAAAAGAAAGCAGGTCTATTAAATATGAAAGTTCTTTGCCCTGACTAGGTAAGGAGATCATCCCTGGCTTGCATTGAAGCTGCCGGCGCTATCAATCCCTGCGGATCTTCATGTGAAGATACGCTTGCGGTTATTTGACAGGTTCAGAATAGCTACACGGCCGGGGCTGAGCGACGGCAGTTGAGCACTGATCGTCTGTGCTCCTGAGCCATTGGGATGGCGCCCAAGCAAATGCCTTCAATGTTCATAGGACCCATCGAATCAATGCTCAGAAATGCGTCGGTTCTATCTAGCGCGGGGTTTGATGAAACAACCCTACCTAGATACCCTTACCTGCTCTGGACCTGATATCTGGAAAATTCGAGGTTACGTTACGGCTAGGTCGGAAAATTCATGGCCATTTGGTGGAAAGTGGAGGACTGTTGGAAATGAACGCCGACCAGGCAGTGCAATTTCCTTCCGCGCTTTGGCGGGCGCGAACTCATCAGCCAGTGAACGGTCGCAGATGTTCCCCTCTTGACTTGTTTCTATCTATAGCCGTAGAGAAGTATACCAAAGACACAAAAGAGGGAAGATGATTAGAATGAACAATGAGAGCTACCAGGATTTGTTATCGGCGATATGATATGTAGGTTATCTGAATCATGTGGCACAGCCGCTGTATGACGTGCTAAACAGAACCGTTACAAACGGTCACGCGATCAATGAAACGGCCGCAGAAATGATCCTTCTGGGTTGCTTATTAACCAAGCTGCCCAGCCACGCGCAAAGGAGTCAACCTTCCCTTATTATCACAATAACCCTGACGGTATCACGCAGGACATTCTGTTTGCTGCATTAGCAGTATCCAAGCGTTTTTTGAACTCGATTCCTCTTGGCAAGCCGACATCAAGAAGGATGCTGGGAGCCGCCAAGACCAACTTGCTGCTGCTCTTCGTGAGCTCGCGACTGCTGACTCTCGGCGCCGCATCGCCGGAGTCGCAACAACCGCTCGGACCAGCACACCCGAAAGGCCCCCATTCTCATGCAGTTGATCCGGCCATTCTTGCTGCTCTCGAGGCCCATCCTGACCCCGTAGATGCCTATCTTTCATTGAAACCAGAGGCCGCTGCTGAGCTGGCGGCACCACGTCTCTTGCACGTGGCTGGCGAGGAGGCTCCGCGATGGATGACCGAGGGTGATAAGATGCGCTTGCGCCGTGAGCGTAAGAAATTCACTGATATAACAGACCACGAGGAGTTTTATGCTCAGTACGTGGGCGCTGAAACTGCTGGAGATGCCCGTATGTGACAATCAAGACAGGCTGAACACCCATTGCTCCCTACATAGGACGGTACTAATCCTATGGCATGAGGCCTCTGTAGATCTTCCCCAAATATCACACCAGCGATATGTCAAGCCTCTCTTCTCGCGCGTTTCAACGCAGCGGATGCGCGGTGTTCTGCAGCACCTGTCAAGCTTCTACACCCGTTACTTTGGGAGCACGGATGGAGAGCAGAGCGCCCAATGGCTGCATCGCCAACTTGCTGAGGTTTGCCTCTCAAACCCTCGCGGCCGCTCAGATCGTCTCGTACTGACAAGACTGCCTTCCCATTAGATCATCAGGAAGGCTCCTTTCCACACGCGCATCTCACTAGAGTTCTTCACACACCCCTTCCCCCAGCCGTCGCTGATCGCGCGCTTTGAGCCCAAGGTCAAGAACATTTCCGCTCCATTGACCATCATCGGCGCCCACCAGGATTCTATGAACTACCTGTTCCCTCTTCTGCCTGCCCCAGGTGCCGACGATGACGGGTCCGGCACTGTCAGTATCCTTGAAGCTTTCCGGGTTCTCGCTGAGAGCGGATTCGTCCCCGAGTATGGTCCTGTCGAGTTCCACTGGTACGCAGCAGAGGAGGGTGGCCTGCTGGGCAGCCAGGCGATTGCCAGATACAAGAAGGAGTCAAATGCACGCATTGGTGCCATGCTAGAATTCGTATGTACTTGATTTCGCACTTGGCTTTCTCTTCTCGCCTCACTTCATCCCTCTGAGCAAGTTGGGCATCAATTGGATACTCAGCGAGTACTGACTACTCATGCCAGGATATGACTGCATTTATCGCACGCAATGCCACTGAAACCATTGGGTTCATTGGATCGGCTGCCGATGAGAAACTCACAAAGTGGCTGCTTGGCTTGGCGAAGGAGTACATCTCGATTCCTGCTGATGTTTTCGAGCTTCCTGGGTAAGTTTCTGCCCGCAATGCGCCATCGTGTACATGTGATGATGACAGTGACTGATCAAAACGACCACAGTGGTGCTGGCTCCGACTACATGTCGTATACTCAGTTGGGCTATCCCGCTGGATTCGCCTCTGAAGGCAACCCCTCGGCTGGCGGTGGCCGCATTGGCGAGTATGACCCGTACGTCCATGGGGTGGGTGACGTGATTGACATTGACGATGAGACTGGAGTCTTCTCCTTCGACGTACGTGCTTCCCCTTCTCGTCTACACCGTACTCTCTTGATACTAACTCAATCCAACCCTGCAGCACATGGCTCGCTTCTCAGAGCTTGCTATTGCTTTTGTGGTGGAGCAGGCTGGATGGGACAACAAATGGAGGTAGGCGACTAGCAGAGCGGCTGCCAGGACTAGTGATGTGGCGCCGGGCTTTGCCGCTGCTCACCGTTCGTTGGGCGTACGATGGTGGTGAGAAAGAACGTGGAGTTTTTGGATAGATTGACGGCCCAAATGCACTACAGTCCAGCGTATAGAGGCAGTATTAGCTATTTCTTTCGCACTCTGCCACGACTATTGATTTATTGGAATTTAGGGGCAGTGACCCAGCCACAATTTTCCTTCTTGTCCCTTTTCCCCTTGTCCGTTCCGCAGTCTGAGGGGGTACGGCTGCGGCTATGACAGCTACATGATGCACGTATTTTCAGGTGCCATCGATGAGAGCCAACACGTGTAGGGACAATTGGACTTGGTGACTGTTTCGGCTTAGACGACATGCACGATGTGAACAAATTGGGACCAAAAATGGAGGACTGCGCATGCCCGCATCCAAATACACCATTTGTGCATTGATGGCTTACTCACTCCTCGGAGCGCCCGGGAAGCGAGGACAAGTGTTCCACAATGGCGGGAACACAACGAAAATGGGGATCTACGAGCACTCCAGCCCTCTGCCGACGATCATGATATTGCGAACGCCGAGCAGAGATTGCGAACTGCATGACTGTGCCGCGCTAAAGACCTGCCGGACTCATCACCTCGCTGAGGGCTGAACGGCAGATTGTCATCCAGCTGCACTAACGTCCGGTGAATAAGGGAGCTAGTGCCTTGAGCCAGATTCTAGCCAGGTCCAGCCATCTCACGAAGCGGGAAAAAATCACCCGCCCGTCCCATCCACCAGACCGTCGAGACGGCTCCAGACCCCCGGCTCACTAGCTTGGCACATATTCTTATGCTTACTAGCACGGCATCAGCTCCTCATGCACCCTTGTCTGGGCTCGTTGCCTGAATCATGAAATATTTGCATTGGCCGAGCGGCCCAGCTGCAATAATGTATGCAGCTCGCTGCGCCGACGTTTTTCTGAGTACCTAAAAGAGGAAAAATATGACACCGAATCAATGCGCGCTCTAATGCCTGTCGCCCTGTCCAACCCATTTTTAAAAACCCGCTATAATTAGCTTGCCCAATTAACCGAAAAGAGACCATAAACCTTGATGTGCGTAAGGCGTGACAATAGGAAAAGAAAAGAAAGGAAAAATGAACCATTTTCGTCCACCGGTGGCCAATCAGTAGGGGTAATTATCCTCCACCAGGCGAGTGAATGTGAGCCTCTGCTCTGAGCACGGGTCGAGGATGTCCTTCAAGACCGGGATCCACCACTTCTCATGCTCGTGGCAGAGGACCATGGCGAAGGCATACTCGGCATACTCGGGATAGAAGCCGCTCCTCTCCCAGTCCACGATGCCCGTCAGCGTGGTGCCGTCCACCATGATGTTGCGGGGCGTGAGGTCCCCGTGCGTGAGGACGAACCGCTGGCGCCTGTCAAACTCGTTGGCAGACGCCTTGGAGTTCTTCCGGCCATTGTCCCTGTTGGTCTTGGTGCTGAGATCCTTCCTCATGTGCCGGAGGGCGAGCCTCCACCTCAGCCGCGCCAGGGGCTTCGCGGCGACGTGGCCGAGGCACCACCTGTCGAACTCCTTCTCCGTGGCAAAGGGCCCGCAGGTGGAGTTTTGCGTGCGGTCGAACATGTTGCGCGTGGGCTGCCTGTCGACGCGGCCGATGTAGGGCTGCGTGACCTGGCGCATGCGGCCCAGCTGGGCGCGGAGCTGGTCCTTGACGTGCTCCTGCTGGTCCTCGTCGTAGTCGTTCCAGACGTCCGAGAGGGGCACGCCGGGGACGCGCTCGCTGACCATGGCGCGGGCGATGGACTTGTTGACGACGATGTCGTAGAAGGTGAGCACCTTGGGCGCCAGGATGTTGTTGGTGGCGGCGTGGTGCATCATGTCGGCCTCGGTCGAGTCCATGGCGTCGGGCGTCTTGACCTTGATGGCCACGGTGGTGCCCGAGGCCGTGACGTGCTCGATGACACGGTTGCCGTAGAAGCTGTAGAGCTCCTTGCCGTGGGCGGCGTCGGTGTAGGAGAACCGACGGAGCTGCTGGTCCACGGACCGGTCCATGTCCAGGGCCAGAGGAGCCACTGCCATCGTCATGATGATGGTTTGACGGTTGTGAGGAAGGTAAGTTGTGAAGGCTATGAAGAAGAATATGGTGATGCTCCAGAACCGAGTCCTCTGGTGTAGCGTAGGAGAGATGAGCCAGCCATGAGAGAAGAGAGAGAGAGAGGAGCAGACTCGTGGTATAATAAACTTTCTCAGCTGGCCGACTAACTCATGGTCGGGCAGATCTCTCTCCCAATACGTCGGCCAGCTGGAAGAACATGGCTGACTGGAGCCAGCTTGTTGGTGGCCTGGACCCTGGCGGGTCTAGTTACACACTGGGGGCGGTCCGAGAGGCACAACTATGCATTGGTGCCTCCGGTCGTGAGCATAAGCTTCCTCCTCGTGTCTGGATTGCGTGTCCAACAGGCTCGATTGCACGTCCGTGGCAGGAGTTAGGTTTGTGCCGATCCCCTTGTCCACAGCTTGGGGGCCTGGGCCATGCCAGCAAAACCCATAGTGTCGGGGCCTAATGCGCAAACGAGCACGGCCCCGGGGCTTGCACCATCTTGCAGGTCGCATGCATAACTAACGAAAGAGGCTGCTTTGTGCCCTCGACTGACTGACCGAGCTGAGCTGAGCTGAGCAAGCCACCGTGCCCGCCTTCGCTGGCGGCACGTTCGTCCACTTGTTCGCAAGGCGAGACTTCGCCGGTCTCCCCACCCCCTCCCATCTGAATACACTTTGGACCCGTCTAGAAGGGAGCTCGGAGGTTTTTGCCAGGGCCAAGAGGTACCCGCTGATGCTAGCACAACGTTAAAAGGCCCTTAGCAGCCAATTGGGGAATTCTCACTACCTAGTCTGACCATGGTCGGGCTCACTTGAGGCCTCCGCGCAAGACGCACCATTCATACATGGATGAGTCCATATGTACGCACAGGCCTGGGTATCGTATCCCAGCCAGTTGGTCGCCCTACGTGCCACTCACCGATTGGTGGCCCGAGGCAGTGGCTGATGGGATCATTTTCCTTTGTCCGAGGCCGCCTTTTGTTTCTTTTTTTCAGCCCTTTTGTTTTGGACCGTCTCACCCCAGAATTGGCCCGAGATTCGCCCATCTCATCTCTCACCGATACGGTTCACCTGCCATTCCAGCAGAGACAGTCTAACTTTAGTCAACTGAAGCTTATAAACAGAGCCGAGATTGATTAGAAGTGAGAAAAGAAAAGATTCAACGGCCTTGTATCCCATTGGGAGAGTTTGGGACTATCGGTCTTAGATCATGTAGGCTACGTGCCATCGCGGCGTAATGCTATCAGTAGTGTGAGCTGAGGTCAAACCTGCAGCTACGGAAGGCTGAATTTTCACCCCGCCGTGGACATTTGCTTTGTGCCTGCCTCCACAGTGTCTCTTATTGAGGGGTTTTGATCCAGGGCATCACGGCCTCCGGTGTCGGATGTGGCATGAAGCCGACTGTGGTAGATGTCCAGAGCGCTGATGAGATTATGATACCAGCGCAGTGGCAGTCTTGGATCTGCCAGGCAGGTGTCATTAATCACCGTGTCTGACATGAGATGATGATCAAATTTATATGTTATCCTTGAGTTGTTTGTTTTTGTTGGCGTGAAACTATAACGAACGCCATCGTAGTCCAGCATTTCTGAGTCTGCCATCTGGAATGAAGCCATCCGCATCTGTGTAAGCTCAGCGTCTCAACGAACTGGCGGGCTTGGAGGTCGATCTAGTGCGCGTGTGGTGCCGTCACCACCACATACGACCATGCCAGATTGCGCTTGTATCTCCTGCGTCTCAGAATCCCACGAATGATGCAAAAACCTTCCACCTTGTGCTGATATCTGAGTCCAGGAAGCCTTGACCTGGTTCCAATTCCACAATCATGCAGTTCCCAGATACCACCATGGGCCACAAAAATAGCAATCACAAGCTCCGTGAGGGCCGGCATGACCATCATGCCGTTGAAGAGCCCCTGAGCCTTTTAGCACCATAAAGAGCGTAGACACGGCAAACGTAGCACTCTGCACGATGCGGAAGCTGTGACTGCGCGCTCCCTGCTCCAGGTAGGCCATGCCATAGGCAGGGACGCACTCATTAAGGCTGTCGAGCTGGTAGGCCACGGTGCCCAAGCCGCCCACCCACCGTTGAATGACGAGGGCGGAGGAGGCTACCCATTGGAAGCCCAGCGGGGGCAGGGCATAGTATTCAAAGGGGTGGACCATGAGGTCGTAGCAGGCGGCCCATCCAAGCACCGACATCCACCCCCAGTGGACTTGTCGCTCTGCGTGAGGCCGAATGAGACACACCATGCCACGGACATGAAGGGCGAAGTACCACCTGGAGGAACTGCGCGGGCGTGATGGTCGTGCCGAAGAACGAGTACTGTGTTGAGCCGAAGCCACACGCAGTTATGGGCGGCGCCACCACTAGGAATTGGAAGAGGACTTGCGGCCAGGAGGGCATTGAGGCGGCCTCTTGGGGTGTGGCGTCGACGAGAGTCAGATTGTACAGCGAGCGAAAAGCTTCGTTGTCTTCGGTAGACCCAGCCAGCTTCCAAACCTTGGGGGGCAGTGAATCGACTGTAGAGCCATTGCCGTAGTTTCGCGAGTCGTCAAACTTCCATATCCTTGAGACCGAAAGAAAATCTGCCCGTGTTGAAAGGTTGCCACAATCGGCACAGTGGTTTGTGGGTATTGCTACAACACTGGGAGCGAATGACTGGCTCAGAAAGAAGAAAATGAGAGATTGACTATGGAGGCAAAACTGCCTCATTTGATTATGCAGCATATTGCCTTGTCGCACCAAGGCAGTTGAAATTGGATCTAGAAACCCAACACCATACATGATCCTCCTACCTAGGTAGAGAAGAGCATAAGGTATAAAGACTGGCCCTTGATTTTCATGTTGAAATTTTTATCCGAATGTACGGAGTGGCCGCCGTAACGTTAAGGCAACATTTTCAAAACGCCTTGCAGAGCTGCCCACAAACCTGGCGCGTATTTCATGTATGTAAGAACGAACTGCAACCTTGTGGGTAGCATCTGATCTACCTAGTCAAGATGCTTACTTCTCCACCCTGGCTGCCTTACTGTTCTTAAGATATAACGATATTTTAAACTTGTCTTCTCCAGGTTCTTTTTGCTCACGTGGAAAAGGTGACTATAAACTCGGTTGTAGGGTTTATCCGTGGAGCTACAGTCATGATCAGAAGCTGTAGGCATCATTGCCCTTAGCTAGACCATGCACCTTTATTGAAATGGCGACTGCACCCTCACTGGAAAATGTTGAGCTACGTAGCCTTATTAACTTTATTACAGTTGACGCAGATAAGGTGTAACCCACCTTCAAGAGTTCTGAGAGTTTCTGAGGCATGCATCAGCATCAGTATTGTTCGCTCCTATTGCGACGAGAATCCTATTGCGACGAGAATGACTGTTAATTTGTAGTTACAAGTTATACAGGGATTGCCTGGTAACTAGCCTCAGCAGGAGCGTCTTCACCTCTGACACCACTTGCCTCCTCATCTGGAGAACAAGCTCTAGAGACTCGAACTGAAGGAATTAGGTGCGGATGTTCTGTTCTTGTGGCTATGGGGGCTTGTGAGCGGTTCTACTGCACTTCTTCTAAAAAGCTCAAGTACACTTCAGGTGACTGTTAGAACCCATCCTCCCCTTTGTTTAAACTTATGGGTGCTGATGATTAGCAAAGCTAATGACAAGTGGCGATTACCAACTATTGTATGTTTCTGCCATCTCTTCTGCATATTTACATTTCTTGCTATCGGATATGCCTGGGGACATTGCGGTGGGTTTGTGAAAGGGGCTGGATCGGTATGCGCCTCTCTCAGGCATGTAGATTCGTAACGTTGATAGCGATCTTTTCTTATTGCAACTTCAGGGAGGTAGTGTTTCGCCTACTTGTAAAACACGTGGTATTATCGGCCTTAAGAGAGACCGTTGAGAAAAGCCGTTGAAAGGTTCCCCAAAAGGTCTTGAATTAGCAACGAAAGGGCGGGCTGATGGTATGGCGTAGGAGCGATTCAGCCTGTCGTCATTACTTGGTTACCTACATTACGATATGGCAGCACTGGTTAGGTACTCCCGGGTTAGTTTCTGGCAGGGAAGTGTCTCCTGATATTTGTGCTGAATAATCTAGTCGACATTTTCGGCGCATTTCTTCCTTTCTCCCTGAGAGAATAATTACAATTTGAAGTCTGATAAAGTCAAGTTAGTGAGCCAAGACATGGAGTGTGTCGGTGGCATTCCAACACCATGTCGCAGTTGACACCTTTGGAGTCCAAATGTCATCGGTACTATAGGCTGCACTGGAATGCACGTTGTCATCGCACGTTAGCTTCCGCTTTCCCTGAGAATGTTTCTAGGTGAACGTGGCCTACCTACTTTAGAACAGGCTCCGTATCGCTGAAGAATATGAGACACATGTGGAGTGTATTGTCCTAGATACAACATCGTAGGTCATGATAGTTTAGATATCGTATGACCTGTTTTTTCCTGCCCACAAGTTGATGGTATTCTGCTTCTACGGTAACCAGCTGACGATTTAGAGATGTCATTTCATGTAAATTAAGTAGCTAGCTATTGCCCCTCAACAACTCCTGAATATAAATATTATGTCCTATTGCCCTACGAATAACTACTGCCTATCTTGAATCACCTTCAAGATCAGATTTGATTTCAAATCTGACAAGATGCTGTTTTCAACGCTTTCTCTCCAAACCCTCGCGCTTTTCGCGACTTCGGTTATCGCTGATGCGACCATCGACGATGACACACCACTGAACATCACCAAAACTGTGCAAGATGCGCCCAATGTTATTTCCTATGCCGGAAAGCCAGAGTACCATGACAGTCAAGTAGAGAGCAGATCCATATCATCAGAAGCTGAATATGCCAAACTTCTTAACACGCTCCCCCCCAACGTCTCAGCAGACCAGCTCGAAAGCTTGCGTCTCCACAATGCTGCCCGCGCAGGGAGAAGGCTCAAGGCAGTCACATGGGACCCTACGCTTGCGAGTGCTGCGCTGGATTGGGCAAACTATATTGCTGGGATCAACTCCCTGGAACATTCTAGCTCCGCCCAGAGGCCAAACCAAGGCGAGAACCTTGCGTACTCCAAGTAAGTGTTCCTTCACCGTGAAATTGAGAGCGAAGAGTTGTGAGAAAATCAGTCTAACATCGCGATTTAGGTCTTCGGCCCCTATCCTCAATCCTGCAAGTATCGGCACCAAATTATGGCAGGTTGCCCCCTTTGTTCACTTGTCTTTGTTTCTCAAAACTAACCCTTTTGGCTCACCCTAGGCTTGATGAAGTCTCGAATTACAACGGTGAAACTATCCCAAGAGGAAACTTTCAAGCATACGGCCACTATAGTGAGTAGTCAAGTCCCCTGTCCCATATCTCAAATTCAATGTACTGATATTCCTAGCCCAATGCATGTGGAGCACCACCTATAAGATTGGCGTGGCAACTGCGCAGGCTGCGGATGGCTCATACTATACAGTCGCTCGGTACTCGCCTCCTGGAAACATTGTTGGCAAGGTGCCCTACGGTACTCCTCCTTCTGCTGCCACTGGTTAAAGAGGCCGGGGAACAGGACTATTTCACGCCAAGTTGGCGAGGATCATGACTCGTAATCGCAATTGTCAAGGGTTCGATTACTCAAGCCTACTTGCATAAATCGTCCCCAAATAAATATCTTATCAAGACAACTAAGTCCTAATTTAGATGAATTGAAGAATTTTCTTTCATGGGAAACCCCAAATACTCAAACCGCCCCATTCGAATCATCTTCCTATCAACTTGAACACCCTGTGAGTCGTGATTTATGCCTAAATATAACCTCGCTAGATACTACCACACTGCGATCATCTTCTCGGATGTACTCTGGCTTTTAGTGTATTTCATCACAAGCAAATTCTCTCAGTATACTAGAAAAGAGGTCAATAATAGAAGGCTATCCTAGACCAATCTAATCAGGTAGACCCAACTCCGGCCCGAAATTACTTGGCGGACATCCAATTCCGAAAAGGATAGTTTTTAAAACAATTTGGGTATCAACATGACAAAGCTACTTCGCCCTACGTCAATCTTGAAGGGTAGAAGAACATGCCGATGCTGCCCATATCTCGAATTTGCGGCTTAGTCTTTTGTAACGTCTTCCACAAAAGAATCTAATCCAAGCAACAGGGCTAAACAGGTCGTGATTTTTTGGCGGTTAGCCTCGGGAAGCCGTATCTACAAATGGGCCGGAGCCACCCCGCAATCGGCGGAGGGAAATAGAGAGGGGCAGAGCTGCTGATAAGACGATGCGGGGAGACTTCACGAGGCCCCTAAAGCCCCGTCGCTGTTTGTTGCCGTCATTGTCCGACTTGTCCGGCCATTACTCCGATTTATCTCACCCTTCATCCTCATTCCCGCGTCGTGGCATGCTCTCGTCCTTGAGCTAATTTCAACAGTCTCGAAAAGGCTCCCAATACCCACCCGTGCATGTATTACCCGCCTGGAATTGACTCACAATGCAAGACCAATACCTCCCGGAAGTTGCGCAGCTGAAAACGTGCGAGGAGAAAGTAGCCTGGGCAAGAGCTCAGCGCGATGATGGGCTAAACAAGGTCGAGCCGAAGCTTCAGGGCGTCCCAGATGAGCTGCCAAAGAGCTCACAGGGCCTGCCAAAGACCGTTCTGACTGCTCGTGAGATTGAGATTACGGAGAACTACTCAGTGACCCAGCTTCTCGACATTCTCAAGGAGAGGAAGATATCCGTCGAGGAGGTCACGAGGGCCTTTTTGCGGCGGGCTGCCCTCGCACAGGCAGCTGTAAGTAGCGCATTCATATGCCCTCACGCTGGGAAGAGAACGGAGCTAACAGGCGGGATATGAACAGACCAACTGCGTTACCCATCTGCTGTGGGATGAAGCAATCGCCCGCGCGAAATATCTCGATTCCCTACCTGAACCTGAAGGGATGCTGTTCGGTCTGCCAATCTCCACTAAAGAGCACCATGGCATGAGGGGCGACAATGTGACTACAAATGCGTCTCTGGTTGCGTGGATAGGCAAAAAGCACGGCTCGAACTTGTTGTACGATTCACTCTGGGACCAAGGGTGTGTCTTTTACGTCCGAACCACCCAGCCTCAGACAATTATGCATCTTGAGACCGTCAGCGTTGTGTATGGGCGTACCGTCAACCCGTATAATCGAGATTTATCGCCAGGCGGGAGCAGCGGAGGAGAATCAGCTTTGATAGGCATGCGTGGGAGTCTCTTGGTATGCTTCATAGAACTCTTGGGTTTGTTGTTGGTTCGGGGCTTGCATGTGCTGACCGTCATTGACTAGGGAGTTGGAGGAGATATCGGCGGCAGCGTTCGATGCCCGGCAGCCCATGTTGGGATTTACGCGTTTAAGTGAGTAATTTTCTTTCGTATCCAAGTTCCGCTGAGCTATTTCTGACTGATGGACCACCTAGGCCAACCCTGAAACGTATATCCGTGATGGGTGCTAGAGGTTTGATGATAGGAAAGGAAGCAATTACATCTACCCCTGGACCTATGACCGTGGACCGCGACGCTCTGGAGCTGTTTATGAAAGCTGCGTTGGAATCAAAGCCATGGCTGACTGACCCGTCTCTCACATTTAAACCTTGGACTCCTTTTAGATTTATCCAGCAGCTTAAAGTTGCCATCATGTGGTGGGATGGTGTTGTGAAGCCACACCCGCCCATGATCAGAGCTCTTCAGGAGGTCGCCGAAGCATGCAAAAAGGCCGGCA